CTCCCTGAACCATGCAATAATAATAAATTATTTCCTCTCATTTCAACATACTTTTGGATCTCCAGTCCCTCTGTCTGTGTAGATCTTTATTCGAGGAGCTCCAGTTCTATCATTTTTAGCGATATCACCAACAGTACTGAAGACATCTGCGATGTAAGTTTCGTTTGCCCTACAAAAAATACGTTACTCATTCAAATGTCCAGCTACCAATGCAAAACTAAGAAACTCACGTGACGGGTACTCCCTGAACAAAAACGGTCTCTTTCAGCTCAACACGGTCATCGTGACGAAAACCTCCACTGTCTCCTCTATCTCCTCCGTAGCCACCACGGCCTCCACGGTCCCCACGATCTATAAAAAATAACAATGGAAAAATGAGATGAAAGGCTTGATTTACACAACGCCAGCGATCAAGATAGATGATGTGCAACCGCGGACTTTTACAACACCTTCAACTCTGTTTGTTTTTGAAGAACCAGTGTTTATTAGCCGACTAGATTTGCATTCCTCTTCACATAATTCAAGAAAAAGACCAATAAAACATTATATGGGAAACCACTTGATTATCTTCAACGTCTACCTGCTCTTATATATAGATAGATGGACCGTTTAATTGATAATTATTGCGCTTCCCGATTTTTTGAGTTTTTCGATTGGAACAAGTTTACTCAATGCTTTTTAAAGTTCTTGTTTTTCTGGATATTGAAGCAACATTATTCACATCTCTGCCATCAGGACTAGTATCAACTGGCCACTTTTCATCAATTCATTTTAGCACTGCATAACCTGTATCATAATACCATATCACTCTCGACTCTACTCCTCGCTTTCAAACCCCAAGTATTTTCAACTTCCTCATTTTGTGGATACGGCAACACCGGGTATTTTCACCTTTTCCACTTTACGGAGACATATGTCATACCAATACCAGAATTGTCGAGAATATAATTGCTAACACATAGGTGGCACCGTGCGCGTACTACATGAATAAACAAATAAGTAGATAAATAAATAAACCTGCAACCAATCCACTCTTGAAAGATAAACACGTGCAACTTGAGGTTTCATTTGAATTTTCAGTACTTTTAGGGAGAATACACCTCAGCCGTTGATAATGGCTCAACAACATTAAAGCATGACCTAAGAAAGTGCGCACATCTTATGGTAATTGACACTTTTCGTTATACTCTAGTCATATACCGTGTGCGCCCCAGAAAAGTTCCCATGAGAACCAGCGTGCGTACGCAGTGCGACGCTGCCTTTTGCTCT